GCCTCAGCTTCAGGATCTGTCCTTCCAGTGAGCACTCAGGGTTGATTTCCTTTAGAATTGATAGGTTTGTTCTCCTTGCAGTCCAGGGGATTCTCAAGAGTCTCCTCCAGCACCACAATTCAAAGGCATCAATTCGTCCAAGAGGGAGATGGATTGTTCCTCTCATTTCTGAAGATGGAAGCTGCTTGTGCTGGGCCAGTTGACAACACTGGCTCTGGCAATGATTCATGGAGTCATAGAATAGTGAAGTTGGAAGGGGCTTGCAATGCCATGGTGTCCAACTCCTTGCTCTGTGTTGGTGTTTTGCAACCTTGCATGCTTCCTTTAACAGGTTTGGCTGAAAGGGACCTTTCTGGGCTGGGGAGATTGTCATTCTCTCCAGCACTAAGCAATCATTTTTTTTCTCTGCCTCTGATTTCAAAAAGATCTCAATCTTTCTGCTGAAAACTTTTACTCTCTCTTGAGTCTGTTGAAGTCTGTTACTGAAAGCAGTCATGTTTGTCAGATTGCTCTTTGATCTGTTAAATTGCAGGTAAAGAAACCTTTTGTTATTTCTCCTACACGTGTTTCAGAGTGAGTTATTGAGACTGTAAGTGCCAGTTAATCGGAAAGAAATGGGCTCTGGGGAACTTGTATCTGTTCTTCTCTGTGAGTCACCATGCTTCAACACTGCAGGCTGCAGCCCCATGTCCATACCTTGTAGCTTGAAAAAAGTAGAAGACCCACAGTGGCAGAGTAAAAAATATCTGTGTCAGGAGCTAAAAGAGCTGGACTGATTTGAACTGGACTTTGCATCATGTGATCAGGAAAATGTGAATTCATCTGTTTTACATCCACAGCAAATCCCACAGTATTTGATCATGTAGCTGAATTTGTTTGTTTGTTTGTTTGTTTGTTTGTTTATTTATTTATTTATTTATTTATTTATTTATTTATTTATTTACTTATTTATTTATTTATTTATTTATTTATTTATTTATTTATTTATTTATTTATTTATTTATTTAATACCCCGCCCATCTGGTCATTACGACCACTCTAGTGCTAGAATTCACAAGCATTGAGGGACAGGGATATTTTTTAATGTACAGTTGGATACAAAAGGCTGAAATCCTATCGCACATTCCATGTGTATAATGAAGGTGTTCCCAATTTCTTTGGAATTTTGGAGGGCATTGTGCGCAATCTGAAATTGACTTTAATCAAAGGCAATTTGCTATTGAGGATGACAGCCTATATATTGTGCACATGGTGCTGTGCAAAAGGATTTCAGTCAAAACATACAGATGGAAAAATGTCAAGTTGGAAATGGATAAATGTGCAGTTGGAGAAATACAGGAAAAATTTGGACAGGTTGTGTGTTTCTATTTGTTAAGAACTTAAATAACAGTGTCATGTAACACTATTTATGTAAGGGTTAGGAAATACCTGGTTTTCCTATATAAATTAAATTAAACTACCCAATCCATATTGAAACAAATTGTTTCTTTTTTGCTGGAACCTCCTTTACTTCAGCTCTTTCTGTGCTGAACATCTACAAGCCTTATTGACTGCAGTGAATAGAAACACTCATCTTAGCCACCTTGGGTCTTTTTAAGGAGAAAGTTGGAGTAAAAATGTTTTAAATAAATAAACCAGAAGATTCATGTTTCACGTATTTTAGGATAGGAGAGGATCTGGACGGAGCATTTTTGTAGCTTCACACTCACATTATCACATGGAATGTGGGAATGAAACTGTTCGAGGATGGTATGTGTACTCTGTCTAGGCAATCTCTCTGCAACTGCCACAATCACAGTTCAGGGAAAGTTGGTTTATATGACTCTGCAGTTAGGAACTCAATTCACTGAGCTATCTAGCCAACCGTGCATTTACATTTGGCTTTCATGAATGGAGTTTGGCTTAAGTGGTTAGGTACAGCCGCCTACCCCATTGGACTGTAGTGTTTCTATATTCAATATTAGAAGGGGTGGGGCTAGCACACTGCTGTCACATGCTTTCCGAACAACTGAATAGGGGTACGATCAGAGCGGTGTGTCGAGCATGATTGGCAGTTTGAACCAATCTTAGATTGGCTGTGTAGAAGCCCTAAAGATTATCATCATTATTCTACATAAGCATCACTGCCAATAGAAACAAAGAACTATCTTGCTCCTTCTGTCAATGCAGGCAAGTTGGGGAAAGTCTACAGTGAAAGGTGGAAGACTCCTGAGGAAGGAGCAAGTGATGTCTGTTGTTGGTAGTCTGAGAATGAAGACTTCAAATGAACTCAGAACTAAGCTTTAGAATATTCTTAGATGCAGGGAACCCCTACTGAAGGAAAGACTGCAAGTTCAGGCTTCACTAGCAGTTGATAGAGCACACCCAGAGCGGACCTACAGCTACCACACATACTGTTTTTAAAGCAGAGGTAACACTTGGATGCTTATGAGTCAAAGGGAACGTAAAAGGAACAACATACTAACTGAAATGTAAACTAGAGAAACCAGCAACAGTGCTTAACTTTATCATATATTTTCCAAGACTTGTTGACAAATCGTGTTTGTGCCTCCTTTTAGAATTTATAGGGGGCTGGCCCCCTCTTTCATGCATGAGTTACTTATGAAGTGCTGTCTATATTGTTACAATAAATTTTCTTTAACTTTGTTTTAACTCAGTTCAACCTCCACTGTGTCTCATATGAAGCCTGCATCATGATACTGTGTAGGAGCTATTTCAATGACAGCCCATGGAGTAAGGGGGGGGGAAGTGTCTCATCCTGAAATGATGGGGAGATGGGCCCCACCTTTCATTCTGTGAGCAGTCCATTGGTAAACTAAAATAAATTCCTCAGCAAGATTTCTCAAACTATATTGCTATGTATGCTGGCAACCTTTGCTGAAATATGATTTCGTGCTTTGGAAAATAAATTACTGTTAACTGGAGTGGCACAAAGCCATCTGACTATGTGTTTAGATTTATTTTACAGATTTTCTTTATTTTTAAAAAAACAGCTGCTATTGTAGAGTCAGTCCAACGATGACCACAAATCATCTGGCACTCCTCTATTTTGCTATTATATAAAATAAAATAAAATTATAGCAGACAGTACGTTTTAGAGAGTGAAATTTGGAACTACTGGGAAATATCAGGCTCTTTGGCTGCATTTTCAAGTATCACATAAGTTCTGCCTAATTCTGTCTGTGGCATCGTATCTTGTTGTAATGAGCACATCTTCAACACCATTAAAATACAAGCACTCAAGCAAGTGGCACTACTTCTCATGCAAGTGGTTCAAAAGTACTTTGGCTTCAATGCAAGGATACTCTTGCACAAACAGAAAGAAATCTGCCTATTTAGGTGTGACAGGAGTTTCACTCCCACTTCTTGCCATAAGGTCTGATCACAGGAATTGGGGGAGGTCTAGACCACTGGTTCTTAACCTTGGGTTACTCAGGAGTTTTGGACTGCAACTCCCAGAAGCCTTCACCACCAACTGTGCTGGCTGGGGTTTCTGGGAGTTGCAGTTCAAAAACATCCAAGTAACGAAGGTTAAGAACCACTGGTCTAGACCATCTCCTCCCATGCTTTGCCATTTGTAAAGAGTGACAGCCTGAAAAAGGACACTACTAAACATACTTTTAGTATGTTTAGTACAGTGTCTCTTTACCCCCACACCACAATTGGAGAAATTATTTCATGGAGAAATTCCACAGTAGAGAAGACTATGATCTTCTGATTATCAGTCTTCACACATGAGGAATGGAGCAGAAAGTAGACTAGCTCTCTCTGCTCTCCTCACACATTCTGAAAACCTGAACTGAGCTAATACTAACATTATGGCCATGAATCTTTGAATCACAGAATCATAGAATAATTGAGTTGAAAGGGGCTTAGAAGACCATCAAGTCCAACCTGCACTCAGTGCAGGAATCCAAGTCAAACCAGATCTGACAGATGGTTGTCCAATTTCCTACTGAATGCCCCCAGTGTTGGAGCACTCATCCCCTCCCAGAGTGATTGGTTCCATTGTAATACTGCTCTAACAGTTAAGAAGTTTTTCCTGATATTCAGCCGAAATCTGTCTTCCTATAGCTTGAGCCCATTATTACGTGTCCTGCACTATAGGATGATCGAGAATAGATCTTTCCCGTTCTCTGTATGACTGTCTTTCAAGTATTTGAAAAGTGCTATAATATCTCCCCTCAGTCTTCTTTTCTCAAGGCTAAACATGCCCAACTCTTCAGACTTTCCTCATAAGGCTTGGTTCCCTGATCATCCTTGTCTGCCTCTGAATTCGCTCCAGTTTGTTGGCATCCTTTTTAAAGTATGATGTCCAAAACTGGACACAGTATTCTAGGTGAGGCCTAACCAGTGCTGAATAGAGTGGAATTAGTGCCTCACCAGATTTGGAAAGTATACTTCTGTTAATGCAGCCTAAAATAGCATTTGCCCTTTTTTTGCAGCCACGTCACACTGCTGGCTCATATTCATCTTTTGATCTACAATAATTCCAAGATCCTTCTAACTTGTAATATTACTGAGCCAAGTATCTCCCATCATATAACTATGCATTCGGTCTTTTGTCCCCTGTAGGTGTAGAACTTTCCACTTATCCCTGTAAAAATTCACTCTGTTGTTTTCAGCCCAGTTCTCAAGCCTATTGAGATCTTTTTGAATTTTGTTCCTGTCTTCCAAGGTATAAGCTATTCCAACCCATTTTTATTTCATCTGCAAATCTGATAAGAATTCCCTGCACTCACTTATCCAAGTCATTAATAAAAAAGGCTGAAAAGTGCAAGTCCCAGAACTAACCCTTGGGGTACCCCACTTGTTACCTTTTCCCAGTTTGAGAAGGAGCCATTGATAAACAGTCAGGTGTTCAGAAGGTCCAATTCCCAATATATAGACTGGAATTAGTGTGCCTGTGTGTGTTTCATAATTCAACCCTTACAATAAAATTGCTAGTGTTTTACTGACTGCTTTGCCTCTCTCTGTCTACTGATATATTTTAATTACAGGTATGAACACAAGCAAGAGTGAGACTGTGAAAGAGCCCCCCTTGAAACCTTCCAGAAGATCCTTGCCATGTCTTGCACAGAGCCAGACCCATCCACACAGCCTCAGCAAGCATTCCTCCTTCCTTCAGCCAAACCGAGTGCAGCCACAACCTCAGCCAGTGAGTGCAGGGGCGTCCACCACCACAGTCAATGTTGTCTCAGAACGGGGTAGGTATCTGCCAGGCAAGGTCAAGGGCATTCCTTCAGATCTGTAAGACTTCTGAAAATGTGACCAAAAAAACCACAAAGCAAAACAAAACAAAAAAAAGGACAAGCCAATTGTGTGATCCAAATGAAGAATTTGATGGGAAATCTGTTGCCTTTCCTTTCAGCTAAAGTGATGGAGACTCTGGAAAACAACTTACTCAAGCTGTCTAATACAGAATACAGTGACCCATTTTTAGGTGAGTTTATACATTATTTATATTTCATATTATTTGTTAAATTAACCCTTCCCTCCTTCCATTTGATCAACCTAGAGATGAAACACGAAATCACTGCCTGCTGACAAGGACAATTTGAAGCCATGCCAGAGTTCCATGTGTCTGAAATACTTTTATTCATTAAGCAAAATAAATATATATGTATGCATGCATGTGTGTATGGTAATACAACAAGGTAGTAGTTACAAAGTCAGGGTATTACACCCATGTAGCATACCTTTATGAGCTAATGTATGCTGTTTATATGAAACAGTGCATCAAGGAAGGTATTTTTAGAGTACAGTAAAATTTAAAACTACAGAAAGTGTGTAATAGAATCTGAAGAAAAGAATCCTTGATCGTTGGATCAGATCCTAACCTAGCTTTCCATAAAGGGTACAGTCTCTTCAACACATAGACGCCTTTTGATTCAGTAGAGGATATCACTGGTGAAAGGAAGAAAGAACAAATTCTTATTGATTCCCCCTCCAGTCCCATGCCATCCTTCCTTCCAGTATTCTAGACAGATCCCCAAGCATCTAGAGTTTTTCAAAGGGTGAATGCACAGAGGGAAGAGTGAATGAGCAAAAATCACCTGCCCCTTTCAGCAGCACAAAGGAAGTTTGGATCCAAGCTCTATAAATAGGAGATAGAGCTGCTTCATTCATTCATTCATTCATTCATTCATTCATTCATTCATTCATTTATTTATTTATTTAAAACATATAAAATACATTTATCCTAATTAGTTCTAAGCAACAGATTTCCAAGATGTTGATGTACAAAAGAAAAAGAGAAAAGAAAAAGATAGAGAAAAAGAAAAAGAAGACCACTTAATTGACTGGGGGGGTAGGCCTGTTTAAACAACCAAGTTTTTAATTGACTTTTGAAAACACCCAGCGAGGGTGCCAGCCGGATTTCAGTGGGGAGTGTGTTCCACAGCCGAGGGGCGACCATCTAGAAGGCCCGGTTTCTAGTTTTCTCCTTCCAGGCCTCTCTCGGCGTCAGGCCCCTCAGCCGTCCTTGCTGGCTATGTCGGGTGATTCGGGTAGATCTGGGCGGGACGAGGCGATCTGCCAAATATTGAAGTCCCAGACCGTTTAGGGCTTTATATGTAATCATTAATACTTTGAAGTCGATGCGGAAACGAATACGTAACCAGTGCAGTGCAGTTTTTATGTTTTGGAGTTTTCATGTTATGGAGACTGAATCTATCAAAATCCTAACAACAATATGTACTAGCCAGGCCTTGCTTTGGAAATATCAGTGTTTCCTATGCACTGACCACAACATCTCTCCTGCATAGCACCCCTGTGCAGAGGACCCCTTCTTTCCTTCACTTTTTAAAAAATCTAGTATCTTTTATGTGTTCTCATAATTTCACTCTGTTGGCTGCTCCCAGCAAGTGATGGGAACACCATCATGCCATAGTAACTAATAATTCAGTTTATTTGTGAGAAGACAGATATCTACAGTACCTGGGGATGTCTTTTAGGTTTCTGGTTCATGCATTTGGTTTTAGCAACAGTCCTATCTAAACTTAAAATTTCAACAGCACACTTAATATTGAGAATCAAAGCATTATCCTCTGATCCCCAAAAGTGGTGTGCTATTACAGAATCTATTAGTTGGGAATAGTTCTTCTGTAAGAACATCCTAGAAGTAGCCTGTTGAATGAATGAATAAAAATGATGCAACTGAAGTCCATGCTCCAGCACTAGTGAAGCTTATGTAACAGACGTGAGTAATGAGTTTCATTTCTCCAGTGATCTATTATGAACTGCCCCAGGAAAATATTTAAGATGGATCTGAATTAAATGAGTGAGATAAATGTTTAATCATGTAGTTGGAAGGAAGGACAAATAAAAGGAAAAATGATATAGTTATGTGCAAAAAGAAGGCAACAGACACTAAAGCCTTTAATATAAATGGGAAAAATCCCAGAGATCTTCATGCTCCTTATAAAAAGCATTGCTCTATTTAGAATAGGGATATGCTTCAGATGTAAGCATCTCTTTCATCATTGTTTTAATTTGTTTGAGTGAAAGATCCTTGTACTAATCCCTGGAGAATCCTGTGGTAGAATAAATTTCAATTTAAACCCAAAAAATCTGTGTTTACAACCCATGTGTTGAAGGACCAGGGTGAAACATAGCACTGTTTGTACTTGATCAGAAAAATCTGGGGCTCAGCAAGATCAGTGAAATGCATTAGTCATGTCTATTGAGTATTTCCAACAGAAACTCTCAACCAGTAAGTATGTATAGGGCAGAGATGGGCAGTCTCAGCATGGTTGAGGGCCAGTTTTCAGATATATTGGTGCCCTGCAGGCTGCAATCCCAAGAGGAGAGGGTCTAAAGGGGAGGTACATGGCCAAAGAAGATATTTAGCCTATTTAATTATTCAAGGAGAAAGAGTAGGTGTCAGTACAGAACCTGTGTGTTCCTTCTATTTATTAGGGGAAAATGTACATTTCCTGGTTAAAAACTGAAACAAAACACAATTTCTGACACTATCCAAGTACTGGAAATTTACTAGAATAATTAGTAGTAATGAACCAAACCTGGATCAAACTGTAGTTTCAGACTCTTGTTTCTTAACAAAGTCATTGACTATTATTACTACTACTGCTGCTGCTGTTGTTGCTGCTGCTGCTGGTGGTAGTAGTAGTAGTAGTGGTGGTGGTGGTGGTGGTGGTGGTAATAGTAGCAGCAGCAGCAGCAGCAACAGTAGTAGTAGTAGTAGTAGTAGTAGTAGTAGTAGTAGTAGTAGTAGTAGTAGTAGTAGTAATTTACTGTATTTATGTCCTGCTTTTCTGCTAGAGCAGCTTACAAATTTCATAAAAGAATTAACCAAGTAAAACTAAAGTTAACTATAACATCTTAAAATCAGGTAAAGCTAACCACATCATAAAATCAAGTAAATGCTCAAAAACTGTCACCAAAATCAACAAAGGAGGTAGTCAAAGTAGGCTCATTGAATCAATGGGGATTCAACTCTTCTGAAAATTCTGTTGATTCAAATGGGGCTACACTAACTGCAGTTTATTTTAACCTGGTAATTCACAGCTGGAGAATACCAATTTGAATCAGTGGATCATATGGAAGAATTGACTCGATAAATCCCCATTGATTCATTGAGCCTACTCTAGTGCAATTTACTACACTAGGCAACAGGGATTTGACCATAGAACAAACCACAGTTTGCCATATTGCAGTAATGGTACACTGTGGTTTATTCCAATGACCAACAAATGTTTCAGATTTGCTTCTAGGGTGTGCCATTTGGATTTTTTGCACACCAATTCTCAGCATTCCTCAAGAACTCTCTATGTAGAATCATGGGAATTCCATATCCACAGATATACATTTCACTCACCTGGAGTCTACCTTAAAGGTTCCATGGCCCCAGACCCCACATAGCTTCCTGTCTTAAAAAAGAAGCTGCCCTGATGCTATCTGTGAGCCCTAGGCTCCTTGCACAGTATGGTCTTGCTGCTCATTAGGCTTTATGGAAGAAACCCCCCAGAGAACCCTACGGTTCTCAGATAGCAATGGGCAGCTTCCTTTGCCCCCCT